CCCCAAAACCCCAAAACCCCAAAACCCCAAAACCCCGATAAAGGGAAAATAAATAGATTTTTATCAAAAATATCTTAAATGACTGACAATAAGTATGATAGGCAGCTAAGGCTCTGGGGAGCTGATGGACAGAAGAGACTTAGTGAAGCCTCGATTCTTTTGATAAATGCACCAGCTGCTGGGACTGAGACTTTGAAGAATTTGATCCTTCCTGGAGTAGGATTTATCACAGTTCTTGATGATAAGTTGGTTGAGGAGAGAGATCTTGGAACCAACTTCTTTGTTACTAAGGACTCTATTGGTAAATCTAGAGCTGAGATTACAATGGAGCTACTCACTGAGCTTAATGAGGATGTCAAAGGTGCTCACATCCATGAGTCCCCATCGAAATACATTAATGAAAAGAACCTGGAATTCTTTAAGCAATTCACTCTCATTATTGCCTGAGATCTTACTGATGCTGAAATTGATATTTTGTGCGACATTGGAGATGAGCTAGGTTTAGGATTAATTTTCCTTAGATCTTACGGAATGATAGGATACCTCAGGCTTTACAAGAAGGAGCATGCTTGTATCCAATCAAAACATGCAGATAAGGAATTGGACGATTTAAGACTTGCCGAGCCATTTGAAGAGCTGGAGAAATATGCCCTTGAATTCGAAATGTCTTCTTTAGGTTCTCTTGAGCATGGCCATACTCCTTATGTAATCATTCTCATCAAAGCTCTTCACAAATGGAAGGAAGCTCATGATGGAAAGATGCCATCCAACTTCGAAGAAAAGGACGCTTTTAAAGCAACTATAAAAGAAATGGCAAGAGACTTTAGTAAAGAAGCCAACTTCAACGAAGCCATTGAGAATGCTTATAAAGCATTCAGTTATGAGTCAGTTCCTTATGAAATTCAGCAGATTCTTGATAACCCTAAGGCTGATTCAAAAGAGTTCCATTCAAATTTCTGGACTCTTGTATCTGCTCTAAAGCAATTCATTGCTGAGAATGGATGCTTGCCAGTGAGCGGAAAGGTTCCTGACATGACTGCCACCTCTGATTTCTATATCACTCTTCAGAAGATCTACCAAGAAAAGGCAAAAGAAGACAGAGAGAAGATCAAGGAGATCATTACCAAGCAAGCTGACGAGAAGGGACTAATGGAAATGCTCTTCGAAGATGAAGATATTAAAGTTTTCTGTGAAAATGCAAGGTAAGTCCTTTCTAAATAATATTCAGAAATCTTGAGGTGACAAGAATGGAAAACTATAAGCAAGAATTGGAAAATCCAAACACTGAAGATATTTCTGCTGAGTTCTTTGACCCAGATAGTTCTGTGCAGTGGTATGTAGCAGTGAGATGAGCTGAAGCATTCAGAACAACCAACTCTAGATATCCAGGAGAAACAAAGGAGCAAATTGAATCTGACGTTGCTGAAATGAGTGCATTGGTGCCAGATTTACTCAAGAAGTTAGGAGCAGATGAATCGTTTGAGTACAACTATGATCATATTCATGAGATTGCAAGATACTCTAACTCTACTCTTCACAACATTGGAGCCTTATTAGGAGGAGTTGGTGCTCAAGAGGCTGTGAAGTTGATAACAGAGCAATACACTCCACTAAACCATACATATATCTTCGATGGAGCTCACTGCAAGTCTCAGGTTTTTAATCCATAATGATTCGGGCTTTAACTGTTTATCTTTCTCATCTCAATGAGTTGAAATAATTTAGGGGTTTTGGGGTTTTGGGGTTTTGGGGTTTTGGGGTTTTGGGG